CTATCTAACTATTCCTATGATTAAATAATACCAGCGGGAAAAATGAAAATGATATATGTGATGTAAAAACATACAATGCCTGCGCTACTGCGAAATTCTACATGGAGCGCAGAAAGAGATGGTGTGGTAGATGTGCCCGCGTAAGTAAAAGGACTTCACGCGCGTGGCTACGCTGCGGCTTCTCTGAGCTGGGGCACGTCATTCGCAATTCTTCACCATTCACTAATCTAAACCTAACTAAAGTATTAAGAACCTCTGTCTGTTGAAGTCATTGTGTTTGTTTACCTTCAAAGCTATTTGCTATACCATAATGAACGCAGTTATTTTACTTCTCTTTTAATTCCAGGTTTGGAATTTCACACCTGATTACTCGACAAACACATAAGAAGGACGCATCCCGAAAGTGCTGCATCAACTCCGCCTTAGTCGTGTCCTCTATGTGAGTGCGGTGTTGCTGACCAAGCAGCGCTAAACGAACATTGCAGGACTGAACATGATAGAAAAGGGTGCATAGAAGAAGGGAAGGAATTCGCTAGGAAGGAAGAGTGTGAGATTTGGAAAGCCGCGCATGAGAAGCAAAGTATCACCAAATGGAGGAATAACAGCACATCCACAGAAAAAGGGCATACAATGATACATTATGTGCGCAATAGGTAATCCAATTATCTATGACGCGATTTTGATCAAACAATCTCGTTTAAGATCTGGTGTTGTTAAATGTAGTGCAAAGGGAATACGTCTGGTTAAAAAATCAAAGATAGTATCTCGCCACTGCACATCGTTCGTGGAGGTAGGAATGTTCATTATTCAGCATACTTATTGCAAGAAATCCATTTATGACTAGTTCTAGGCAAAAATTCAGCATGACGGCGGGGAGTGTGAGATTTTGTGGAGTACATGTTGGACACAATATTTCTGCTTGCATTCTACCATTGACGGACGCAGATAAGCATTCTATCGGGCACTACCTCCAGCTAGGGCTTGCCGTACCTGTTGTACTACGAGTGATACGCAACAGTATGCGGATCCTCGTCATGGCTCTATTGGACTTCAGCCAGCGGCGTACGGATTACACAACGGAGTCTAGCCATGCATCCAGGACGGCTAATTTCCATTGACGATATGCATTGTACTACACGCTACAATTTGAAACTGGCTACATTGATGCTAGTTGATGACCATGGTCGTTGGGTCCCAGCTGGGTTTCTATTTGCCAGTAGGATGGACAAAGAAGAGTGTGCTTTCTTCTTTGAAGAAGTCAAAAACGTTTATAGAGAGTTTCGAACGCGTTTTTTCTTCTGTCAGATGACACAATGACCTTTTGGAACGGATATAGCAGTGTTTTCCCAGATAGCAGCACCATTAAGTTGCTGTGTTATGGCATTGTAAAAAAGCCATTTTTGACAAGCTGGAATCATATCTTGGAGCAAAAGATGACAGAGGAAACCGTCAAATCGAAGATTTGATAATAGATATCTTATGGGTTTTTAATTTTCTAAGCTGTCGAATACTGAAATTATGCATTTTACCGGATGGATAAAAGTGCTGTTCACTCAATAAAACAAAGTGGAATTCTTCAGAGCCAAAAGCAGACTCCTTACACAACTTTCCCAGTATCGGACCGAACATCGAGGCTGTTTCGACGATTATTTTCGCCGTTACTACCTCACACGTCAGGAACACTGGGCTCCGTACAAGCGGACTGCCGCCATCGCCAACACCACCATGGTGTCTGAACGGTGGCACAGGACGTTGAAATATACGCTGCTCAACTGATCTGCTAATCGCAGAGCGGATGAGCTAGTGCACATCCTGATCAGTGCTCTACTGGATATAGCAAGAGAGCATTTGATCCAGGATGAACGCGGCATGACGGAGGGAAAGTTTCGTACTAGGGAGAACATGTCGAGGCACAAAAGGACAGTGGAAAAAGGGAAGACAGCAGGCATGATTAACACGAGGGGCACCATGGAATGGAAAGTGGAGTCCTTTACAACTCCTGGAAGATACAACAAACTAAATGCCACGTCATGCCATTGCGAAAACGTATGTTTTCATAAGGGTTTTCAGTAATAAGTGTAGTCTGCGGAGAAAAAATTAATTTTCAGAGAAAAATGCACTGTTCGCTGTGTGAAATTTGTCCGATGTGTACGAACTGCTCTTGCGCTGAGCAGTTAAGAGTGGAATAGTGTGCAAGCATGCGCACGCTTGGGCATTAAACCGCAGTGGTAGCAAATGGACTTTAAAGAATTCGTCAAGCACTTTATTAATCTTTTCTTCAGCATGGCCAAGTGA